TTTTCGCATGATTGTATAAAATCGTCCGTTTTAACTTTCTTGATGCACGGACCGGCACGGCTAATAACGCTACACATCATTGTATTCTATGCTAATAGACATAGAGTACAATGATGAGTGGCCTCGTATGCTTTTTGGGTGAAGTTGGTCCAAAGACTGCGTGTGTAACGTTTATACAGTTTACTCTGATTTACAAAATACACTAATTAAAGTGTTATTGGATGAGAAATAGGAGATTTATATTCATAATTGAATTATGTGTAAATTAATTAACGAATAACTTTTGTGACTTCTACTAAAATAAGAACCAAATTAAAAATTATTTATAAATATAATTTCTAACATAGTGGTGACAGACCGTGGTAGATCAGGGTTAAGTGTCACCGCTTTTACAGTACGCGAGAAATCCGGTTTCCGCTTGCTATCTTAAGTGATACTATACCACGTTTTCGGCGGTGAAGGAACACATCGTGAGTTTCCGTGCTTGTTTACAACCATTGTAAAAAAGCATAATGATAATTTGATTTAAAAAATATATTTACGGGTTTTGTCGCATTTCTTATGAACAATTTTTATTTCCCAACATTTCGGGTTCTTTGAAGCACCCATGGCCACAGGGAGACTGAGAAGTTTGACGACCTGATGTCATTGTTAAACCAGGCTCTCAGCTTTTGGATAATATTTTTTAAAATATTTATACCCAGTATGAACTTACTGAACTTGAATTAAGAGTATGCTTCGGTTCTGATTTAATTTATTAGTTATAGAATACTGTGGTGTAGGTACTATGACAAAGTATAGCTAGAATATTAAATGATATCATCACTCAACGTGGACTCCGTATAAGGAGTAGAAATAATATCTATTTGGTTCAAGACACCATTCATGTGTCTCTGGAACCACGTAATACAAACCTTACCCCTACCTATGTACTCGTACCTTCGTCACAACTGTATATAAGTCTCCTCCTAATCAATAAAGAGCGAATTATTAAACTACATCAGTTAGTTTAATTTCATACATAGTCCCAACATTACAATCCCAAGCAGATGGTAACACTCAGAAAACTTCTCTGTTAAGGCCATGTATTCCTGCAAAAGTAGGCATTTAGCGCTGTCCCGGCCGCGCACGAATTATTTCGCGCGGACTCCGCGGCAGTGAACTTGCATGAGCCCACCAGCGACACAGTATAGAAATAAGCAGTAGGATGACTTTTTTATTTGACTTTACAAATGCATTTTTTATGATCAAACTTTTTTTATTATAACGATAAATTAGAGTTACATAATAAATAGAAAATTAACAACCAGTTCGCTTTTGATAGGTATGAAAACTGTATGAGTAGAGAACTGTTTTTAAGTTTCGTGTGAACACACACAACGCTAGGGGAGAAAGTCAAACTTACAGTGAAATTCATTATAACTATTAAAACCACAGGATTTATATTTCTATATATAAGCCCAAATTCGGCACACCTAGTTCTACTCGTTTAGAAATTCCAGCAGTAGTTACTGAATTACCCCTTCAGGTCACTCCATCAAGTCTGGTGGTAAGGTCTCATCATAACTAACAAAACGAACCCAAACTCGGCACACCTAATTCTACTAGTCTAGGAGTTCCAGTTGTAATCACTGAATTACACCTTCAGGTCACTCCATCAAGTTCGTTGGTAAGGTCTCATCGTTACTAACAAAACGAACCCAAACTCGGTACACCTAGTTCTACCAGTCTAGGAGTTCCAGTTGCAATCACCGATTTACACCTTCAGGTCACTCCATCAAATTCGGAGGTATGGACTCGTCATAACTAACAAAACGAAGCCCAAATTTGGCACACCTAGTTTTACTCGTTCAGAAATTCCAGCAGTAGTTACTGAATTACACCTTCAGGTCACTCCATCAAGTCCGGTGGTAAGGTCTCATCGTTACTAACAAAACGGACCCAAACTCGGCACACCTAGTTGTACTAGTCTAGGAGTTCCAGTTGTAATCACTGAATTACACCTTCAGGTCACTCCATCAAGTCCGCAGGTAGGTAAGGTCTTATTATAACTGACAAAACCAGTTCAAAGTCCAGAGCTAACATCTCACTACCAGTAGAGGGCTTCCAGTGCCAAGCAGTCTCTGGAGCAGGTATTTCTGAGGTATAAGAAATAAAAAACAAATTCAATCTTTCAAATTATCAAAATAATTTCATTTGACTACGATTCCCACAGCCAACCGTGCGTGCACTTGTGTGTGCGACTTTTGTCAATGTAGTAGTGCGATTCTATACCTATCAATTTTGTAAACGCGTCCTTAAAACCACAGGATTTATATTTATAGCACGCAATATTTAGTCTGTGACAACAATTATACGAACTCGTCAAGAACTGATTTATTGGTGCACGGAGAAAACCGACACGGGTCCGTCGTCCATAAGCGCCAGCGCGCGACTGGTCAGGCTTGCCGAGCCGCCGCGCTCGCGCTTTTAGGAGGTATCTAAATATAGTAATTAACACAATATTTTTATCAAGTCAAACTCTGCGAATTTGTCTGTAAAAATTAAGTGGCTTTATTTGAGTACAAAATTTAAGTGTAAAATGTTAGTAGTTTAGTCATAATATTGAAAAAACAATACAAAAAGGGGTCACTTCGGGATTTTTTTTCTATCGAGTGAAGTTCTTTAGATTTTGTAACTGAATGCGATTTTGACTAGACTAGATCCTTAACTAATAGTATATATTTTTATCAGAATTTAAAACACTAATTTCTATGCCTCAGATGGTTTAAGAGAACTCAAAAGCGCGGTCTCTGCGAAATACATAGCCTTAAAATTGGATGTTTTTATTTTAAATTTTAATAGCCTTGCGAATCGTCTTTGGTAGTATCGATGTTCTTTTGCGAGGATTTTTGGTTTATCAAATCTGATGTAATAGCGGGAATGACCTATTTGTTTTATAAAATAAAGGTGGCAAACGAGCACACAGCCCACCTGATGGTAAATGGGTGCTGTGACCCTAAACATCTATATTACCATCTCCACTTCTCTACACTTACCATTCGAAACACAGCAGCATTAAGCTATTTTACACTGTTAGTCTGTGAGAGCGTGGTGTTTCCCTGGTCGAGCCTACCCATTCGTGCTACAATCATAACATACCAGCAACGTGGCTCTACACGTGCACGTGCACATGTTAATGAATATTTACACACACTGCAGACTCCATTCAACGTCGGTACATCAGAGTATAATACTGCTGTGTTTCATACAGCAAGTGACGATAACCTGATATCCTTTTAACTAGTAACAAGACATTAATGAGGCAGTTCCTCTTAGTCCCCAGGGGTGACAACGCAGTATAGAGTAGATCTAAGTGTCTATGGGTAACGTTATCTACCTACCTTCAGATGGACTATTTGATCGTTTGTCACCATTACTCCTAAATAAAACACATATACGGGTCGAGAACAGCGTAGACACGTAGGTGAATGGAATGGTATTTTACCTGCCTAATAACTTTTTCATTTATTTTAATAACGCTTGCGATTTAAATTAAATTCTATTTATGATTTCGTACACAAGTGTACAGAGCAATAATTGAATTCTACGTTTGAACGAAAATAATTCTGAGCCGGATCAGAAGAAAAATAAATTTGGGTAGTAATAAAAGCTCCGACAAAAAAATAAGAATTGCCCTTACTCAAAATATGAAATCTACTGCCTCAAATACTAACTTTCCGACTACTTTTGTCCGAATAAAAATGACGAAACGACCGAATGAAATACTGAAATCTTCGAAAATTAAATATTAACCTTTAGTGCTATAATACTTTTCTACCAGCTTAAATTAGGTTTTACTGAAAACTACGCTTTGTAATTTTTATCTGTACTTACCTACTATTAATATATAAATTACCTTCCATATTTCATAGACTGTGGCGCTATTTTAACTACAACGTTATACTGAAAATACTATTCTGAGTGGTTATACAGAAACTTATAAAAAATATAAAAAAGTAGTTGTAATAATATTACCTTTTACTTATCATGAATTATACTTACCACAGGTATGCTTCGATATCAGTACTTACTTCAGCCCCCATAACATGACCATCGAAACACGATATGATAAAGAGATTTATCGCTATGAACTGTCTAAATACAATGGAATTTTGAAAGTTCAAAGCGATAAATCGCTTTATTATATCGTGTTTTAGTGACCATGCTACTAGGGCAAGATCAGAACAGTCATATAGATAAATCTAAACCCAGGTGGATTTTGGTTTCCTACAATATTTTACTATTATCCTGTTTTTTTTTTAATCGACATATTCCCTTGTTTTTATAATGTTAGCGAGAAAAGAGATAAAAATAAAACAAAATTGTGTTCATTATAAAAATATTGTTTGTTAGGTAGTACAAAATGTCATACATAAGTGTACTTAACTGTACTGAACTAAATAGGGGGGTAGGTAGTTAGTTGTCAGTGTCTTAATTATCTTCATTGTATTATAAGAGCAGGTCTGGATTTAGTAGGACGACCCCGTTTCCTTTTTGGTCCTATAGGTAGTGCTTTCGCTTCCATAGGTGGAGTTGCGAGCTTCAATCTAATAGCGAGCCCTAGAAGGTGTTTACAAACGTATTGTTACGAGCTTGAGGTTCGTGACAATAAAAAATTGCCGATAAAATTACCTAAATTAACACTTTAATTTACTTTACACAAATTAAAGTTAAAAACACTAATAATTAAACACACTAATTCACTTTATTCCGCTCCGAAGCTTCGCTTGTTTCGCCAAATCAACACTGCCTCGATCGCATCTTGCAGCGCCTATATATTTAAATTAGCAAAGAAATATCCAGAATGTTCAAGTAAACACGCGCAAGGTACCGAGCGTTCGAGTTTCGACTAGGCGCTGTCGGTTGAGTAATTTGTGATGTCATTTTCTCAATGCTCCCCTCGCTCTCGTTCCTGACACTAGATGGCGCTAGTGTATTGTCGATTTGAGCGCGTAACACTATTTTTTATGCAACTGTGGGCACGTGCAGGATCCTTTTCTCCATTCTACATTTTGTGTTTCGTGTTTAGGCACTGTGACTTTCCAGAAAGCAAAATGTTTCATCTTGTAATGTTCAAAGTTTAACCACTGCTCACCGTACGACACCTCTCTTACTTGGCTACTACTACTACTTGGGATCAAGTATTCAGTGTATGCCGTGTTGGATGATAAAATCTTTATTCTTAAATCTTTCCTTGCCCAGCAATACCCATCGGTCCAGTCCTTCAGCTCAATAGTAGGTGTTTCAGGTAAAGGTTCTTTGCAGCTTTGTAAAGACCACTGAGCAACCATCTCAGTAGCAATGGTCAAGAAATGTGAAAGTGGAAGACGTAAGGTGTTTTGGTCTTTTATGTTCCGATTGAATGCTTCTAATGCATTATTTGTGGCGGGTGAACACGGCGCTGCGCCTAAAAACCAATTTGGATGTTTCTTTAACCATTCTTCTTCAAAGTAGTAAATGAACTCGGTTTGAGTCTGCCATTTTTCGACAAAAGCCTGTGATGCAGCATTAAATACTTAATATGATGTATCATTATGTAGTGCGTCTATGTCTTGTATGATTTCTTTCTGTTTCGTTTTATTGTTGATGGTTTTCTGTACTTTTTGGTCCATATTTTTCTTCGCGTGAGCCCAGCACTTTAGAATAACTGGTGTGGTACCAAAAACTGCGATGAAAGCATTTCTTATACTCTGAGCAGCGTCACAAACTAAAACTTTAGGTTGCATCACGTGATCAAATAAAGACAGAACCTTTTCTTTAAGGCCATCAAAAATCATTTGAAAATCTTCTTGACGTTCATTCGTGGACACACCAAGACAAAGCGGATGGAACTTGCGGTTCTTATCAGTGGTACCAAGAACTAAAACGGGGAACCCTTGCCATATGAGTTTGTATGTGGCGTCTATGTGCAGTATGTCCGCGGAACAAACTATGTTGAGTAATTTTTTAGTTGACAATGCCAGACGAAAACTTGGTTCTTCCGCTTCTATCACGTGATATCTGAACACGAAAACTTCATTTTCATCATCGGGAATAGTTTTTCGATCGAAAATCCATTTTTCAAGTTCACCTAAGTAAATTGCAGCTCTTCCGAACTTCTCGCGCCTTCTGTCATATAAGTAGTTGTTAAGATGCCGTTTTGAAGGCGCCTTTATCCCTGTCATGTTGTTTAGAGCCTCTAATATAGCTTTTGGCTTTAGGCATAAATCAAACAGCTTATTTATTTCTCTTTTAACGTTTTCCGGAATTCCGTACTCACTTCGCGTACCAATCTGGTCATGTTTGTGCTCTGAAGTGGTCTTACAAATAAGAATATCATTACAGTCGTTCACAAACAATAAATACAACGCACAATCACACTGTGGCCCCTTGGATTTTATCTTGTTACAACGATAGAAACGTTTTTGGCCTTCATCACTGTCCCGAGTATAATTTCTTGACCAAGTCTTTTCATTACTCACAAATTTCTCTGCTTCTTGTACATTATAGCACCGTTTGATCAACACCCAACTTTTGTTACGACGATTCTTCTTCGCCGGTACCGATGGACCAGCTCCCTCTTCTTCCTCCTCCGACTCAGAACGGTACACAGGTACCTCATCAATATTTCGCAACAATACTAAGTTTCCTTAATAGATACTAAGTTAGTAGTTACCTAAGTAGATGTATTAGTTTTTTGACATCATAATATTAAACCAATAGCAACAAAAACTATTTAATTTCATAACTTATACAAACAAAATACACAAGGATCGGTCGTTGCAAGCGCACTGCGCTCGGAACATCCATCCGACCTCGCGAAAACAGCCGAACGCGACCCGAACCCGATCGCGCGGAACAAACAGTTAAGGTATTTTCATCATTATTGAGAGTTAAAAATATATTTGATAACCAACAATAGAAGTTATAATAGTTCATGCAAGTCGTAAAAATATGATTATTTTGTCAAAACCTTTGTTGTCGGTAACTTAGTAATCTTGTCGGAGGTTCAGTATTTTATTCGGAAGTTTATTTTTGTTATTCGAAGATCTATTTTCTTTTAGGAGAAATGTAATTTGACCGTTCTCTCCTTTGTTTGTTAAATTTGTATTTTTTTCGACATATTTTCGTCGGTTTTTTGACGGTAATTTATTATAATGCTAGTTAATTAGAATAATAGTCCGCCACAGATCGCTGGAGATTAATTTGTTTTTCGGAACCATTATTATTTCCCATTGAATTTTAGTTATATTTTAGGAAAGGTGTTGATGGAATTTCAAACCTATTTCTTTATTACAAGAAATCTTGAAAAGAAGTTAAATATTTATTTCTTCGATATTAAATATTAAAATTTCTTTTACTTGACATGATTTATTTGCTACGCAATTTCCTAACATTTACATTGTTTGATACTTGGTAGAGCCATGCTGCAGTTATATTAGAAGTATAGTTGTAGCATGAATGGGTTGGCTCGACCGAGAAAGGACCACGCTCTCACAGAATACCAGCGTCAAATAGTAGCTTAATGTTGCTGTGTTTCGTACGGTGAGTGTAGAGAACCGGAGACCCTTTTTACTGTAAACGAGACGTCCCATCTTAGTCCCCACGGGTGACAAAGCATCTGTATTTTGATTCATAATCGAGGATAGATGTAGATGTCTATGGACTACAGCAACCACTTACCATTTGGTGGAATGTGTGCTCGTTTGTCACCCTATCCTGTAAAAAAGGTACTTAAATTCGAATAAGCTATAATTATTAGTACCAATATCAAAAAAATCATCCGGTCATCCGGACCGAGCTTTGCTCGGTTTTTTTTTTTTTTTTTGAAATTACATTTAGATACAAATTACATACTGATGAAACATAAATAATATTTTTTGATCTTATTGACATAATAGAAAAAACTGAATTGAATATTTGAATAAAAAATCATGAGTGCAATTAGTTTAATTAAAATTTTCTTATTTTTAAAAAATACTAAAAAAAAGGGCTCGAAATAATAGATTGTCTCACAAAAGAATGGGACTTGAAAAAAAAAAGGAAAAAAAAATCGAACCGAAGACAGGACGCGAACCAAGGCATTACGATTTCGCGACCGCTCGATATCCACTTGAGCTACTACGATTATGTACACAGTGTCAAAATTTACCTTCTTATATTGTAGCAGTTTTTCATTGCCTGAAAACACGGACAAAAAGACATTTTCTAAAAGTAAATCCTAGCTAGATCGATTTATTGCCCCCGAAACTCCCTGGACACTAAATTTTATGAAAATCGTTGGAGCCGTTTTCGAGATTCCGATTATATATATACAAGAATTGCTCGCTTAAAGGTATAGGATATAGGATAGTTAATCTATGAACAGATGAAGCTACAAACATCAATCGGCGATAAATATTTTGCTCTGTCAAAATAGTGCTCTGTTATTTCGGAAAGACCTTTTTATTACCAATCGATTTTTGCGGCACGCGAAATGAAGTAAAGATATACGGATATTGACAAAGCTTTTGTTGCTTTGTTATTTTCTGCTTCGACTATTTCGTTTTGCCTTTATTTTAGAAAACATTTTATTGGTATTTTATCTCTCTGTAAGAAGACATGAAAATTTCTGTGTTGAAATAATGTCAAATTTGACTGAGATTGAAAGCTTAGAAGCGTGGCTTAGTATTCATATAATTTGACCAACAAGTCAATATTTTTTACATGGTTGAGCCACTCTGCAGCTATATATGAGTTGCAGCATGATTGAGTGGGTTCGAAAGAAGAAGGAACACGCTCTCGCAGTTTATAGCTTATCATTAGCAGCGTAAAATAGCAGTTTAATGCCCGTGTTTCGTACAGTAAAAGTAAAGTACTGGAGACTTTTTATTGGAAAAGAAACGTCCCGTTTCAACAGAGACTAGGTATCTTGATTCTGATTGGTCTTGATTACAGTGCCCTCGGGCACTATATAATAAATATTCTTGACAAAAAAACCAACAACTGATTATAGCCCGAATCGGGATTCGAACCCGGGACTGCATTATCAGCTATCGCGTATACGACCACTAGACCAAAGAGGCAATCTATATCTTTCTTATCTTATAGGTAACAAAAGTATCTGTGTGATTTAACGTTTCCTTTCTTTCTTGTAAACATAGTTTAAATTGATTTATAGATTTAATAACGTTTAGGGTTTTAGACTATCTCATTGTCAAGATCTATTAATCCTAAGTACCTTAACGGGGAGCTTATTTTGATTTTTGCGTGGTAGAACCATGCTGCCTGTATATATTTGTAGCAAGATGCGCCGGGAAAAAACCACACTCGCACAGAATACCAGTGTAAAATAGCAACTTGCAGCAGCAGCCTGAGTAACAGCTATACATTAAATGGTTGTTAGTTTTGTTCTTCCTATCAAATTTCAACAGAACATAGCTGTCCACAACTAATTGCATCATAGGGTGCTGCAAAATATTTTCCATAGTTGTCACGTTATTGAGGATGGTTTTTCAGTTTAAATAAGTTGCCTCTTACGTCACCTGCGGAATGATATGGCGACGTGGATTATTTTACGCGCCACTACATGACAATTGTGGTGTGGTTGAATAGCTTAAAACGAAACATCGAAAAAGTGGCTCCGGGCTATCTGGGCTACTGATCCGAGTGAATACATAATTTCTATAAATACTTAAAAACGCCGTCTTAAGGTCTAAAACTGCGTAGCGCCCGCGACGATTAAAACCGCATATAAATTGTCAGAATCTTAAAATATTTTTTTTAAACTATTCATTTATGTAATCAAAATAATGAGCAAGTAAATTATAAATATTGATGTTATGAATATATTTGAGTGATTCCCAAGTATATAGATTGTAATGTCGTTGTAATTTCAACAATAGTGATTTTTTTAGAGGTGTTATCGCAAATAATTATGATCTAGTCAAAATTATACTCGTACAATCGTATTTTGAACAAGCAAATTCAAGATAAAGACAAGAATTTACCGAGATTTGCGGTGAAATATTTTTAATTTTATATTTAATTTCCTTTAAAGTTTGACTTCCACCGTGTGAGAACTGTACACATATTTTTCTAATAAAGAGGGCGCAAACGAGCATGTGGCTTACTTGGTGAAGTGACGACCGCCGCCCATGAACATTTGCAGCACCAGGAGAATTGCCGGCGCGTTCACGGAGTTTAAAAAATAGTGATAACAGTTTTAGTTAAATTTTCTTAGAATATGAATAAGAAAAGCTCTAATCAAGCTTGCTTATCAATCGGACCTACTACATACACTTAAGTAGGTCCGATTGATAAGCAAGTCCCTCCACTTAGGCTTGGTAGCACGGGCCTTCATCCATTCCAGAATCGGCTTGATGTCCGGATCTTCCTGCTGTCCATGTCGTAGGCTATCCTTCCACTCGTTGCTGAGGTGGTCTGTCCTGAGCATCCTCACGGATACCACTTCCTTACTCTCTTGCCTAGTACAATGTTTGCAATCTTCAGAACAAGGTCTTCCTGACAATGCATCTGCGTTGCCATGAGATTTCCCGCTGCGATATCTGATAGTTAAGTCGTATTCCTTCTGCTGCTGGGCGGTGATGTTAGCCGCCCTTCCCTTCTGAGATCGTTCACCTTCCCTTTCTAGGATTCGCTTAGGGTAGCTGGATCGAAGATGGCCCCTTTCCCCACAGCCATAGCACCTAGGGCTGTATCCTTTATCGTGGCCGCGAACCGTAACTGCTGCAACCTCCCTAGCGTGAGGGGAACGATGATCCTGCCGCCGCCAGGCGGTGCCGTTAGCTGCACTACCCTCTCGAGATCGATCAACTTCCCCTTCTAGGGTTCGCTTAGGGCAGATGGATTGAAGGTGGCCCCTTTCCTCACAGCCATAGCACCTAGGGCTGTATCCTTTGTTGCGGTCGCGAACTGTAGCTGCTGCAACCTCCCCTGACGCGATGGGAACGATGATCCTGCCGCACGGCTTCCACCTCCAGTGCATGGGCCAAGGCGTCCTTAAGCGTCTCGTGGTGCCCGAGCCTCACAGCAGCTCTGACTTCCAGGTCGTGGATGCCGTCGATGAATGTCTGCACCAGGTTCCCTTCAATGAACGCAGGTAAAGACCGGTATGCTTTTCGCACCAGCTTCTCCACCTCTAGAGCCCACTGCTGCAGGTTTTCGTTGATGCGCTGCACGCGATCTTTAAGCTGCGCGCGAAAGACGTGTTCCAGGTGAGCGTCGCCATATCTCGCCTCCAACAAGGAGCTGCTCGTAGGTCACTTTCTTACCGAGAGCTTCCAACACAGTTAAGGCTTGGTCGCGCAGGCCTAGGGTGAGTGCAGTTATGGCTTGGCTTTTATTCCAGCCGTTCGCCTCCATGACGGCCTCAAACTGGATTTTGTAGGCCGACCAGGAAGAAGTCCCGTCGAACGGCGGCACTTTGAATCCACGTAGCGAAGGTGTTGTAGCTACTACGGGAGCTGTTGTTCCATCTCTAAGTTTGAGGTCGTCCAGCGTTTTCTTCACGTCAGCTATTACGTTATCAACCCGATTGTTTACTTGGTCGATTCGGGTTTCAGCTTCCGACAGGCGGTTGTCATGTTGAGCAACCTTAATCTTCACCTCCCGTATCTCTTTTCCGAAGGTAACGTGAAGGTCCTTCATGAAGAGCATCTGCTCTTCCTTATCGCGTTGGAGTTGCTCTTCTAAACGACGGGCCTGTTCCTCCTGCTGGCGGGCCTGTTCCTCCTGTACGCACTGCAGCTGCTGCAGCATCAACATCAGAGCATCTAAGTCAGGTGCCACAGACGTAGGAGCTGCTGACGGGCCGGCTTCCGTGGCCGGCGGCTGCTGACGTTGACTTCGGGTACGGACACCCTCCATTTCGTCCTTAGGTAAAATCGGCATGATTTTATCCCACTTCTGACACCAATTGTTACGAGCTTGAAGTTCGTGACAATAAAAATTGCCGATAGAATTACCTAAATTAACACTTTAATTTTCTTTACACAAATTAAAACTTAAAACACCAATAATTAATCACACTGATTCACTTTATTTCGCTCCGAAGCTTCGCTTGTCTCGCCGAATTCAATACTTCCCCCCATCGTATCTTGCAGCGCCTATAAATATAAATTAGCACCGAAATATCCAGAATATTCAAGTAAACACGCGCAAGGTACCGAGAGTTCGAGTTTCAACTTCTAGAAGTTTAGTTCTTCGGCTCGAGACTAGATGGCGCTGTCGGTTGAAAGATTAGTGATGTCATTTTCTGGAAAGCTCCCCTCGCTCTCGTCTCTGACACTAGATGGCGCTAGTGCCGTCGACTTAGGCGCGTAACAATATATTATTCATTTTATTGAATTGGTTTTCCATTTTTGAATCTGGTGCACGCGACACAACTGCCTGCTGCAAGCATAGGCGAAACAAGATATAAAAATTTATATTTCGTTCTGAAAAATAAATCTGTAATATTGTAGATAAACATATTTTCAAATTTTTACTCTTGTAATAATTTTTTTATATCATCAGTCATTAAAGTATAATTACTTTAAATTCTTACATCTGTATAATACAAACCTCTTTCTTCATCAGCCCGTAAAGTTCACTGCTGGACATGGACTGCTGCACTGCATGTACCCCTCGATCGGAGACGGAGCATGCTCTCACAAAATATAATCTTAAAATAGCAGCTCAATTATGCTGTATTTTGTATAGTGTGTGTAAAGAACCGGAGAACCTTTTTAATGGTAATAAGGCATACTACATAAGTCCTCATGGGATGCCTTGTCATCTGTATTTAGATTCTTAATCGTGGGTTAATGTTTATGGGCCACAACGCCCACATATCATCAGGCGGACTGCGTGCTCGTTTGTCACCATTATTCTATAAAGCAATGGACCTCACCTATAGTATGAGAGAATTTTCCTCAATCGCCACGCTTGCCATGCGACTTAAACATTTTTTTATGGAATGTAATTTTTCGTTCCGTATTTAAGAGTTCAAATTGTAATTCAAATAATGTACATGCAGCAAGGCACGTTAATAATTATAATATTACATACAAAATGCATTAATAAAACTTCTGACAAGTTGAAACTCAAAGTTACGTTTCCTTCGGAACAGGCAATGATAACTAATCATACAGCCTATTTAATCGTGTCAGATAATACTCAATTTTTTTTAGTTCATTAACATAGCCTATTTAATCAACTTTCCCAATAGATTTCTATTATTCGGTATAGATCTCTACAGATTCGCCTCAACGTTTCAATATTAAGATATGTTTGATAATGAAGGCTGTTTTATTTTAAGAAATAATCATCTTTATCTATCATGATAATACAGAAATTTATTTCAAAGCGTTTTGTATAGTAAAAGCATTAACGAGCTTTCATTTTTCAGTTTAAAAAAATATTTTTTATGATTTCCCTATAGATTACACAAATAAAAACCATTTAATTACATTTACAATTTATCGTTTTATTACCTGCATATTTTTGTATAACTGTAACGATATATATATACGCACTCCATCACGAGCAGTAGGAAATTTTTGACCAGTAATAAATATTTCACATTCCTGATATTTCTGTATATGTAAAATATTGACCGCCTCGTTAGTCTATTGGTAATGAATGCGACTGTTGATTAAAAGGTCTAGGGCTCGCATCCCAGGTCGTGCTCAATCAACTCTATATTGCACGCCTCGCATAAGCGAAGCGTTGAGGTTGTGCTCTACTCTCACATAATGGAAATCCAGTAATTTCCTGAGCTAAAAATGTCTTTGTTTTTTTGCTATTGCACTTTTAGAATAATAGAAACACATATATGTCGAGAAAAATTATTCTTTTTCATGTTTCTATCATTTTTAAAAGTAATTTTCTTTATTTAGTGTAAAAACAAATTGATTGAAAAAAAAAATCCATTAGAATGAATGTATCAAAATAATTCTTTTTTTTTATTAGGTTTAGGATCACAACGCGCAGGTGCCTTTTAAAAATCACTGAGTAATTTGGTCTCGTGTAACTGTAATTAATGAAAATGTAAAAAAAAAACAACCGGTACTTTTCTACAAAAAATATTTTCATGGATCTTTCCTTTCGTTTTAAATATGGAAAAAGAAATTTTTCTTTTTATATAATCAAATGAGATTATAAGTCGTGCGCTTTCGGATTTTCAAAACTTTTATTACTACACACAGTATTTAATGAGGTTATCTGTCATGTAATACTCAGTAGGAGTCAGAAAGTTTGCGGTGTTTCACTCCCGTGCCTCATAAATTACGTAAAATCGTTGGTCTTGTGCCTGTTCTCTGTCCGGTCATGTCGGTCCGTCCCATCGGACTATGAGAGTGAGGGAAAACAGAGTGCACATGTCGCTGCACATACACTTGGCACTACAATCCTGTTCTGCGCAGATGGCTAGTCTCAGTTAGGATTAGCTTTTGTGACCGAAATTTGGTCTGCATTGCGTTGTTATTGAATATAAGATATGCGATCTTACGAGTTATAGTTACCGTTCGGGACTATCAAAGTCCACTGCTGAACACAGGCCACCCCGGTAGATTGTCTCATAGAGGGGATATTTGCCATAGTTGCCACGCTTGGCAGGCGGGTTGGCAACCACAACTTAAATATGTTTATTATAAAGAAAACGCTACTGACTATCTCCTGATCTCGGTTGCCTCCTACGACGTCCAAGGGACGATATGTAAGGGATATTCTTGCACCACTACTACACAGTATATCTTACGAGTATAACACGATAATTACTAAAAAATAATAAGTCAAAATCGACCACAGGTGAGATTGCGCAAATCAGTATGCTCATTTTGGTGCATATTATTAGTGAATAGTGTTAAATAATCTATTATATGTTAAGGATAAAACGTGTGCTTATTCGTATTGTTTCTTTTTTCTTTCTTACTTTTCTTCTTGCCATTATGCGGTGCGAGGCTAATATGCGAGCACGTTCAAACCAGCACTCGTTTCCAAGTGGAAATTGTACGGCTATGAACCGTGTTTAGTATATATATGTATAGTGAATTATTTTCCATTTATGTAAATTTTGACATTTAAGATACGATTGAAATTGTTTCTCAATTTAATTAACATATTAATGCAGTTGTAATCAGGAAATATACAAGCAAGGTAAGTAGGTACTGGTAAGTTGAGAGTATGACTCCCCAAGGAACAAGTTTAATAGTCTACAAATGAGTTTTTTATAGAATATGGTAAGAAACAAGCACATAGTCTACCTGATGGTAAATTGATGCTATAGCTATTCTACATCTATCCTCGATTAAGAATCAAAATTCAAAAGCATTCTTTCAGTATCATTACACACTCACCGTACAAATCACAGCATTATTATGCTGCTATTTTACGCTGGTATTCACCGAGGTGTTCCATTCGTGATGCAGCGTTACTCTACAACTTTTATTTTAGCACTATATGGTATTGACAGTACGGAAATAAATTAAGAATTTCATATGTAACCATTTCATGGTACTAACTGGAAATCGCTAATCCAAAATAACAATTATATTCAACACAGTTGCTTATGTAAATATTCACTAAATAGGTAATTTAATATTAACTACAGCTTATTTCCGTAATTTTGTAACCAACAATAATGATATTACATTAATATCTATATAATAAAAAAAATCTAATATCTCTGTGTTGAAAATGTTGACAGGCAAACATTGAAACATTTTAAATTAGTCACTTATCTAAAATGAAACAAATATTTAAAAAATTTGTTAGGTACTTTATTTTACAGTTCATGTTTGTTGTGCAAGCTCAAGAAAAATCAAGCACAAGAGACACCTACCCTTTCTGCGTCAGTCTTGATATGACGAACGCCAGAACTTTGCTCCATGACTCACGATAACATAAAACAAACTCGCTGTGTACATTTCATCTATCCAATACCTACAGCTCTTAAAAGTCCATTACTGAAAATAGGCTTCCCTCGTAGATTGCTTCATACAAATATAACTTTATGTCCAAAAAAGTGTTAATGTGCTTACGTTTTTAAGCATTAAATATGTTAATTTAAACTGAACCGCTAAGTGTAGGGGTTAGCTACCGCAGAGTCTACTTCACCAGAGAATGCCTCTTGCGAAACACGTATCGTATTATTAACAATGACCTAACACCATTACACTAGGAAATACACAGGCACCGTATTTACTAGTGTAGTGGTGTTGCAGATCTTAGCTAATTAACACCTTTGATAAAATGGATTTTCGCATAATAACGCCTGATTCTATTAATTATCTTACGCTTAAACTAAAAACATTTGCGAACATCTATTTGTTTTACAAGTTGCAGTTACGCCATCAAATGTCCTAACTGTGTCAGCCATTGTTTGTAAAACTGAATTGACGAACGAATTACGCCTGATTATTAAACTGTTGAAAAATACGTGATTGAACAACTTTTGGACTGGATTATAATGCGCAAGCAGAGGTACACTCTCTATTCCCTCACTCTAAAAGTCCGATGGCACGGTTATCAGACATAATCAAAGAGAGATTAGGCACAAGAACCACGGTTTTAAGTGATTTCTGAGGCACGGGGATAAAACACCGCCAACTTCCCTACTCTGGACTGCTACAAAAAAATTTTGTCTGTCTGTACGTTCTCATCTTCAGAATAGCAGAAACGATCGTGACTCAACTTTACGAACAGGTAGAAAGCAATGCCAAGAGGGATTTAGGTCATATTCCACCACAAAACCTTTAAGGATATTATTTCTTTTTTCAAAAAATAAAGAAATAGTTCATAGTCGTAGAAAATAAAACAACATTTTATAGTAACTATATCAATGTTAAAAATGTTTTATGTTTTAAATATATAGATTGACTTGAAAAAAGAAAAATATTTTAGTTTTTCCTTGATTTATACACTAAACACTAACTGTTCTTAAAGTATTGGTTCAAATTGAATGAAATTTGAAATATACCATGTTTATACAATTCTTACTCGGTTACTGATTCAAGCATCTGGTTTTATTGACTACAACGTTATAGGGGGTCGAAAATGGCCTGAATTGCTTCGAGAAAAGTATGGTACGGCCGTGCCGCTTTTTTGCTCGACTTGGCGGATAATATTATAGCAGATAAATATTCTTAAAAATGCACATTGCTATTCTAAGCCCTCCCGTTGAATTATTTCTTATAATCAATGCAATAAAGATTAAAAATAAATTTCTCGCAAATACATTTCTGCCTGCTTGTATTTATTGCCTTTATTGTAAATTTTGATAAATTGTATCTTTATGAGTATGGACTATAAATTCCATATTAATAATTAAATGGAGATATATAAATATTACTAATACATCCGGTAGCCCACTATAGGGTAAGACACTATTTCTACCTAAAAGTCTGTCTAGGCAGGTACAGGTCTTATCTGTCTGCCGTAAACTAGCAGTGTTTTTTTATAGAGTAGGGGTTACAAACAAGCACACAGTCCACCTGATGATTAGTGGATTCTTGGCCCTTAGACATCTACATCTGTCCTCAGTTAAGTATCAAAATGCAAATGCGTTGGCACCCCTGAGGACTAAGATGGAATGCATCGTTTCTATTAAAAAGGGTTTCCTGTTTTCCACACTCATATTACAAAATACTGAAGCATTAAGCTGCTATTTTACGCTGGTATTCTGTGAGAGCGTAGTCCTTCTCCGGTCTCGCCAACCCATTCCTGCTACAACTATAATATAGCTGCAGCATGGCTCTACCACGTGAACAACTTTTGACTTCCTCTAAATTTAATTTTTATTCCGAAAGTTCAGTCAATTAAATCGATGAGGTTATACGACAATAATAATTGAATGTTAGTTTAGTTACACAAAAGTACTATTCAAAAAACATTCAAGGACAAAAGACAAATTCGAGGCACCTTAGTTGAAACGTTATGAACCCATTATACTACATCTGCTTTTAGCGTTTAATGGACCTGGATGCTTAGCTTCACTACACCAGGCGGAAAATTAATTACGTCCCAGTTGAGTCATTATATGCGAAGCGGAGAACAATCATAAAATTAAAACATGTACCATAAAACCGCTTCATCTTTAATTAGAAAAATTAACTGTCAATAAATGTGTGAGACGATATTTAATATAAAAAACACACGCACAAAAATACCTGTAATACATGATAATGTGTATAAATATTTGTATAAGGAAAACACGTGCATGTTTTATTAATAAACTAGCTAATAAAGAGTTTTGGAAAATTAAGGGGGTAAAATAGGTTATTACAGTTTGTAGGAAACCTTTTTTTACGGGGTGATTAATTCGAAACTTACGGTAGAAACTGACTAAACTTAAATAAAATAAACGAATTCAGATTTAGCGTTTTTTTTTTAAATTTAAATGGGGTCAGAGGACGTTTAAATTTGTATGAAAGATAATTTATTAATTTTTTATTCGAAAATTAGTGTATTTACTCTGGAATTAAAAATAATAACATTCACATTTTAAATTTCTTTATAAATCTACCCTTGTGATCTTAAATCGAGGGTGCAGTGTGTATGAAAAATATTGTATTAAGACGCACAGCCCAAAAAGCTAGATAGAAAATAATAAAATTCGAATTTTTATATAAGGCCAGTTTTAAAACAAAAGGGTACAAGTTTTATATGAAAAATATTGATATAATACACAGCTCAGACCGCTGGTTTTAGAAGCATGACGTTATGAAAATTTAGCTTCCTTTTATCACGTAGGCATTAACTAAGACAATATTTCGAAAAGTTCAATTCCTCAGAGGGTGAAATAAGGTATTACAGTTTTTAAGACACTGTTTAAAGGAATTTTGTAACTTGAAAATTGGTACTCTTGGATTAAAATATTGAAATACAATTGGTTTAATTTTTATTATTATAACCATTAAGTGTTAATATTATAATAATGCATAATGTTTTCGTGGGGAAAATATTTTTTTCTAACTTGCATAGTGGTGAGGACACACTTAAATCGAAATTATGGTAGTTATGGATGATGACGTACTTTCGAGCTTTACAAAATCTGTCCCTATTGACCCTTTAAATATGGATCGACAAAAATGTGTATTTAGACTAAAGAATAAAATCTAAGAGACATGTGCTTCAGTATTTTGTCACTTCTACCCTTAAGGCCATGAGACTAAGGATGAAATGTAATATGGTTTGAAATTTTGCCATCTTTTAATTATATCTTTAGCAACCTTATTAGAAGCTTTCGATTATAAATTAAGTAACACGTATTAAAGCTTTCAATTAGAAATTTAGTTACGCATACTGATGAATTTTTAATTTACTCCACCCCTAAAGTCTAACTTGAAATCTGCGATCATTATCGTTCCGAAATATGAGAAAATTATAATGCGATATCTTGAGTTCTTTAGCAATTTCATAATAAGTGTGGGTCATAACAGTCTATACGCTTCATACCTTGAATGTGTACCGCGTTATGAAAAACGATTAACGGCGTTAACTTCTAATAAACAAATCTGGAATATAGTAAATGGAAGTAGGAAAAATTCGTTTCGTAAAAAAAGAAGAGAATATACTACTAAAGGTAAACAATAACATCGTAAGTAGTGAACAGGATGTAGTAAATGTTTTCTCAAGTCATTTAAGTGAAACTAATTCATTAAGCAACAACGTTAGTGTTTCAATCCACGCACAATTAATTCTCAAACAAAGTGTGCAGAAAATTGTAACAGACATGCCTTTTAAGATTATTACTAGCCATGAAATTTTAAAAACAGTTAAGCAAATGGAAAATAAAAGATCACATGGTTATAATGAAATACCCATCAAGATTATTAAAGATAATATTGATATATTGGCTGAACATTTAACTTATCTTTTCAATAAGTGTGTGGAACAATCTCTGTTTCCTGATCAGCTTAAGCTTGCACGAGTACTTCCGGTACATAAAAAGGGAAGTAAAATGGACCCCAAAAACTATAGACCGATTTCCTTGCTACCAATTTTATCTAAAATTTATGAAAAGCTGATAAAGGTAAGAGCTAGTAGCACATTTGCGACAAAATAACATATTAAGTGAGAGGCAATTTGGCTATCAAACGCGTGTAGGTAGTATATATGCTATAAATACGCTAGTCGATGATGTAGTATGTAGACTCAACGATAAATATAAGGTAGGAGGTCCATTTTTAGACTTAAGTTCGACTTTTGACACGATAAATCATGATATACTACTACTGAAATTGGAACATTACGGAGTTAGAGGTTCTTATCTTAAGGTTATTAGAATCCTACTTATCAAACAGAAAACAATTTGTTGAGGTTAAAACAATAATAGACAGCGTCAAAACTATATACAAATCTAAATTGATAACCTTAAAGAAGGGCGTTCCACAAGGCTCCATTTTGGGACCCATATTATTTATAATATTCATTAATGATTTAACTGCTTAAATACATACCAAACAACAAGACGTAAAGTTAACTATTTATGCGGATGATACAAACCCGATTGTATCTGCTAACTCGATAGACGAACTAAATACCAAAATGAAAAGCACACTGTATGACTTTAAAAATTGGTTTGCTACTAATGATCTTCTACTAAATACAAATAAATCATACACGAGAAGGTAAGGTTGACATTGACATCAGGTTGTTAAACACCTGACTCAACTTCTTCACCAAAAGCGATGGAAAGTTTTGATGTCAATTTTAGTAAATTTAGAAGATTCCTACTTTTTATTATAATAGATTCAGAACGTGTCGATGGTAGATATAGATAATAATGTAAGCATATATTACACATCTATACACACATATTACACTCTAGTGTCATTATCCAGGGACAAAACGGAGATCTTTTCAATATTCTTTTCTGGACACGATAAT